AAAAAAAAAAAAAACAAAAAAAAAAACAATGATTCGAGCCATTCTGCTGCTACGATCAAAATCAAGCACAGCGCAGACTATCGCCCACCCACCCTCAGTTCTACACCACCCCCACAGATGCAAGATAATTCCACGCACCCTCAGTTTTACACCGCCACACTGAATAGTCACACAAGCCCTTAACAAAAGAGAGAAAGAACGGGCACAGCCAGACAACACATTCAGCACACCCCTAACAAAAGAAATGAAGGACTGGGACAGCCAGAAAACACATTCAGCACACCCCTAACAAAAGAAATGAAGGACTGGGACAGCCAGAAAACACATTCCACACACCCCTAACACAACAGAGACAACCCCTGCCAGTGCTAGTGCTGCTGATACGAACAGAGAAAGGACTGGCACAGCCAGAAAACTCATTCTACACACAGCCCAAAAAGAAGACCACATACAATGTATCGCAAACGCAAACGGTTGCCAGCAAGGGTCCCAGCCACAGCCATCCAGTGGTCCCAACTTCCATCTGGAACTGTCGACAGGGAACTCCCAAAGTCCCGTAGGAAGGCGGCCCCAATAGCCAGGAGCACTGGGTCGAGTTTACGAATTGCATCTGAACATGTTTTATGCCCAGATGCATAACCCGATTTTTTTTTCAATCGTGATTTTCTGCACCTCTCCACAAAGTTTAGCACTTCCAGATTCAGGCCAAGTGTCTTGCTACCGTCTTCACCCGAATAGAACACCCGGTAATTATGACCATATCTGGACTGAAAGTTGCATCAAATTCATATGACATCATACAAGGCACACATGCTGTGGGGCCTATGCCCTATACATATGACTTCATACAAGGCACACATGCTGTGTGACAGACGCTGGATACATTGCGCAAGAACATAAATATATATAGTATATACATTATTATCGCATCCCTAACAGAAGAGACGAGAGGATATACATGGGGCCTCGCTCGCTCCACTACTCTCGACATGCAAAAAAAGACAAAAAAATGTCGGTGTATCTTTCCATGTTCTAGCGGAAGATTCACTCTCGTTTTGCACATTTTGATAGTAGTGGAGTGAGGCCCGTTATCGCATCTATGCAGTCTCGTCCTTGATAAGTCCTCTCATTTTCTTCGGCCAGAATCGCTCTTCTCCTTCGACAAGCAGTGGCTGGCCATCTGCTGCCCATCTCTCTCCCCTGAAAAAGGCCCTCTCATCGATCTCCATTGCCACTCCTCCTCGCGATTTCTCGTCCCAGTACGGCTTACAGGCATGCAGAACTGCAGAATGAAATCCTGCTGCGTTGTCCATGAATACGTAATGACCGGCCCTCGGGATTCTCAAGACTTCGCCGCACTGCTTCATCGCCTTGCACGTTAGCTCGCCGCCTCTGTAATCCATCCAGTCGTCCTCTCCGTAAATAAATGTCGTTGGAACGTCTAGATTCGACGCTCGATCTAGCAATGGAATGCGTGCGAATGCGCCCAGACTAAATATATGTCGCAAGCAGAGCTCTCCGCTCCGTTTCGCTGCAATCGTATGATAAAGGTAATCTGTGAATAATTCCGCCTCCGTCTCAGTGAGTTGATCGCCTTGGGATCTCTGCACAAACCTCACGTCCGTGTACCGTCTAACGGCCCCGGGACCAAAGCGTCCCAAGCTCCTTATTATGCTCTGAGGAGTGATGTTCCACTCCCACACCTTGTTGGCGAAGGCACCAGTCCATGTCGCCTGAAATTCCTTGAGTCGATTCGTGGGCGTCCCAAATCCCGCGGGACCAACAAGAATCAAGTGCTGTACATGCTGCGGGTACTGCAGCGCATAAATGAACGACACGTATCCGCCAAACGAATGTCCCATAAGGATCATCTTATCGATCCCCATGGCCTTTCTCCACTCCTCCAACGAGTCTCGGAACCAAATTTCCGTCTCTTCTGTCGTCTTGCATGGGAATTCCGGTCGATCGGACAATCCCCATCCAATAAGATCCAGCGCATGTAGTCGGAATCGCTGCGCCAAGCTGTCGAAGTTGCGGAAGAAAAAGCCCAGCCCAGCCCCGTAGCCATGCACGCAGACGAGCGTCGGCAACCCTTCTTGTTGTTGCTCGCTTTCAAAAGATATCGTGTTGAGATAGCGCGACTTCGCGGGAGCGGAGCCACCAAACCACTGACTCTTTGCAGCTTTGGCAATGGGATCGGGTCCGATATCAACGTCTCGCTTCACGTATGGGGTCTTGAGCAGCTTAAGCAGTCGTTGCTCCGCAGATTGCAACTCCTTGTGCGAGGTGGGAGTCCAACTTAGTTTCCGATACAAGGAGGCTGCCCTGCAGGAGGAGGAGGAGGTGTCTTCCGGGTCGCGGCCAACGCCTACCCCGGAAGCAATTGCCGCTGCCGCCACGTGTTGTGCCATTATGCGATCGGAGGAGACCTGTTGCGCCGCCCCGGCAACAGCAGCAACAGCAGCCGCACCTGCCATCGCGCGCACCCTACTACTGGCCATTTCTGTCACTCCTGTCACGATGATTTGTCCCACATGTCGCACACCACACACCAACCAACAGTCATTCCACAATCAATCAATCAACTCTCTGTGCTAACCATTCTCTTGGACAGATCTTCTTCATCCACTGACTCAGTCACTGACTGCTCACTGACGTACTGCTGCTCTCTCTCTCTCTCTCTCTCTCTCTCTCTCTCTCTCTCTCTCTCTCTCTCTCTCTCTCTCTCTCTCTCTCCATTCACTTACTCAGTCACTGAGTGCTCACTGACGGACTTCTGGTGTCTCTCTCTCTCTCTCTCTCTCTCTCTCTCTCTCTCTCTCTCTCTCTCTCTCTCTCTCTCTCTCTCTTACACACCTGTCTC